TTGAGTTTTTGCTGAAAACAATTTTCATCTGTGGACATGATTTTGCCCAGAAGCCACTGCAATAATGTCTCCACAAATAGAGATAAGTTTTAAGCACCGCCATTTTCAATAACTCTTTTTTCCTGTGGACCCATCTCAATGAAAACTACAAAAAAAAAAAATAAAAATAAAAAAAAAATAATTGAGAAAATTTAAAATATTTGAGTAAAAATATTTTTTTTTTTTACTATTGAGCCAGTCACAGTTACTTCTCATGTGCTATCTTCCTCTCATTTTATGTGTCATGCATCATTATCATCATCACTTATCAAATTACTCTCCATTCAATTTAGTTTTATTGAAGATTACAAACTGCACACAATTAGACTCTAATTTTCAATCATTAACTGGAAAAATAAAAATCAGAAAAATGGCGGAGCTTGGATTCCAGCGCAGCGCCAAGAAGTGCAAGGAGAAATTCGAAAACGTCTACAAATACCACAAGCGGACTAAAGACGGCCGCGCGGCCAAACCCGACGGCAAGAGCTACCGATTTTTCGACCAGCTCGAGGCATTCGAGTCCTCCGCGGCCGCCTCCGCCCCTCCTCCTCCTCCTCCTCCTCCTCCCCGACTTCTGCCATCCACTGCCGCGCAACCTCCACCTCCACCGCCACCCAACCTCCAAATCATCCCACCCAACATCACCGTCTGCTCCTCCAACAGCCCAACTCCCCTAACCATAATCCCTCCAATCTCAGCCGCCCCACCAATATTTCCTCCGCCGTCATCCTCCACCTCGTCCGACGAGGACATGCAGATGGAGCGGCGGCGGCGACGACGGAGTTCCGGCGGCAGCAGCCGTAAGAGAAATTGGGAGGAATACTTCGAAGGGCTCGTGGGTGAGATTGTTCGGAAGCAGGAGGAGATGCAGAACCGATTCTTAGAGGCTCTCGAGCGGCGGGAGCTCGACCGGGCCGCTCGCGACGATGCTTGGCGGGCCGAGGAGGCGGCCCGGTTGGGCCGGGAGCGCGAGCTTCTGGCCCAGGAGCGATATGCGGCCGCTGCCAAGGACAAGGCCGTGCTTGCCCTTCTGCAGAAAGTCGCCCGGGAACAGAATCTGCAGATTCCTATCAACACCGACAAGCCGCTGCAGCCGCTGCCGGAGGCGGCGGCGGCAGATCCACCAGAAGCTGAGGCGGCGGGGGGCTCTTCGAGGTGGCCGAAGGCGGAGGTGGAGGCGCTGATAAAGCTGAGGATGGGGATGGAAATGAAGTATCAGGAGAACGGGCCGAAAGGCCCGTTGTGGGAGGAGATATCGGGGGAGATGGGGAAGCTGGGTTACCGGAGGAACGCCAAGAGGTGCAAGGAGAAGTGGGAGAATATAAACAAATACTATAAGAAGGTGAAGGAGAGTAAAAAGACGAGGCCCGAGGATTCGAAGACGTGTCCGTATTTCCACCAGCTGGAGGAGATTTACAGGGAGAAGGGAGGCGGCGTGCCGAGGC